TTTAGTTAGCATTGCCAATTTCTGTAAGCAGATGATCAACAGCTGAGTTTGGATACTCATATCGCTTGAGTGCGATGTTCAGTGGTCTACCGCATATGCAGAGTCTAATTCCATTCTTAGCAGAAGGTTTGCAGTTTACAACTGTGGGAGCACTTACTCATTCAGTGGGCTCAGTCACTTTCTCAAGTGTACCTTGCTGTTGGAGGTCTTTTACTTCAGCAACAAAATTGTTTTTTAATACACAAAGACGGATCTTTCTAAGAGCTCTTTTGTGTGGAATGACATTATTACTTATCTGTTAGCTAACAGGAATCCTTATAGTAGGCTTGCAAAAGCTTTCTTGTGATCACAGTTTTCGCGTTAAGTACACAAATTTCGTCAAGAACTTTAAAATAGTGAATGCTCACCATCTTCTTCCACTCTCAGTACAAATTATTTTGTGGATGATTTTGATTGTTTGTGATCTGAATGTTTCTCTTGTATCCCTTTTTGGAGTTTTTTACACTTCTTTGATCGACCTTTGAGTCTTGACAGTGATTTTTGATCTTTCACTTTCTGTAGACTGCTCCCCAGGTGGGGCCGAGTTTCTTGCCTGAAAAGCCATGAGCTCCCATTTTGCTGGCACAGTAATTATACTTGAGGACTTTCTTAGGCTTATTTTTAGAAACAGCTTTATGCTCTCCTTTGCTGGAGGTCGGAAGCCTTGCCCATGTTAAAAGCTTCACCTCTTGCCAGGGTGCCACCTTTCCTAGGGATCGTTCTTTCTGTTTTTTTATCAGATACACTGTAAAAAGATGATCTCCACCTTGCCTAATCTTCGTCTACATATTTGCAGTCTCTGTAGGGGTTGTCTCTCTAGGTTTTTGCACTTGTTCTTTAAATTTTTTTTAGAAGAAACATTCTCGTTACACTCTGGACTTACTGCTCTCTTTAACCGGTTCGTCCCGGACATCGCAGTTCGTAGTCGTAATACATCGTCACCTTCAAACCAGTCTAAGTTGTCGTAGATCTTTTGGCCTTTAGGACCGAGCAAATCTTGTACCAGTTCGAAATCGATTCACAAGACTTCTTTTGAATACGTAACCACTTTTCTTTTTAAAGGCTCTCAGTGCTTCGAGGCGATTTTCTTGAGGACCGAATTGAACTTTGATCGTTCTAAGTTCATGATGTTTCCCTTATAAAATCCAGTTGGGTTCTGTACTGAACTTGCTTCGGCACCGACATTTTTTACAGCGCAGAGAAATTTATCACAGGTTGTCACAGCAAACACGAAAATTCCAGTGAATTTGCACATCTCCCATGATGCACATCAGTATGGTTACCACCCCGTAACTATCAGTTAATTTGTTTTCAAGAACAACATGGGAAACCCCTTTTTGTTTGCAACGCGATTTCACCGGAACTTGACCAACCAGGGACGCCAGTACAAGAGCTTTCAAAGGCACCAAAGAACACTTTTCCAGTTTATACAGAGAATGAATTCAAACATACAATCGCTAAACCAATTTCCATTTAAGGTTGATAGAATAAGAACAATTATGTTTTGAAATTGATTTACACTTACAATAATTATACTAGTCATTACCTTGAATGTTTTGCTCTGATATTATTATCACTGGGAACAAGAGCAAGGAAACAGTGATAATTGTTTTAAGAACATCCATCTTTGATCTGCGAAAAAAGATAATACGCTCAGTTCGTTTTCAAATGGCACTCGTTGACAAAATGATATAATGAAGAAGAACTTTAAGGAAATTTTCACAAGATTTGTAATGCTCGCATTGGGCGCTCCTGATCATTCATAGGGAAGAATAATATTGTAAGAAATGAGCTGAAATTTGGCGGGAGGTTTTAGTTACAGACGAGTTTTATCTTACACTGTCATCTTGAATGTTCTCGATTACATATATATCTTAAACTTCCCTACCTTCTATAAGAATCTTTGCAAATATTATTGTTCTCAATTACTCCGACACAAATTCTTATGAAAATTATATTTCAAAATGCTCTCATGGTATGAGTTGGCAATACGGTAACCCATCTCATATGTAATAAGCTCAACCTTCTCTTTCCTTCATAATATTGTAAGAAGTTTAAAGCGCAATCTTGATGATTTCCAGGTTCATTTATTAGACGAACTTCAATACTAGGTTTAATGTTATTGGAGTCACTGAGACTAAGACAACTGAAGATAAGCCGAAAATTCCATGCTTTTTGTTTGAAACAAAACAAAACAGCCTCTTACTAGCTTCCGGAGGCGTTTCACCCTGCCAGCAGCGTCTTTCTTTCTCTTGCTGGATTTTGGCGTACTTAAGAAAGACTCTGCTTGAATCGAGTGAGATATTTGTTGAACATACGCCGTAGGTTGCTAGGATATGGTTTCGAACCCAGGCCTGTGCTTGCGACAGTGGGCTCGGCTATGTCCATCGGATTATCAATAAATGGATGCTCGCACTCGAAAAAAACAGTTTGACGAGAGAGAACGAGATTGACTAGTCCA